CATTAATTATGATGTTTATCCATTCTGCTGATGTCAAAAAGGGGGAGAAATATTATAAAGAATGGATGTGAATGGATGTGAATGCAAGTGATATGAATATGAAGTATGGGAGTGGCAGAATATGAACTGCTATATTTCAGAGCTTAACAATGTTTTATATGCTTCGAAAGTTATATCATCTAAATAGACTATATTTTGTTTACATCACATATAGATAGTTTTGTCATCATAAAAAAGGGGGAGATTGTTGAGCAAAATCCCTAATGAGTTTTGAGAAATGACAAAACAATCTATTACTGACCAGAATTACACTTAAGTTATTTGATGCAGGTAAATGCTGAGTCATAAAACTTAGTCGATGAAAGGACTTTGTCATCAGACTCAAAATTACCGTCAAATTCAATGAGTGTTATTTTTTGCATGTTTATGCAGGATAATTAAATTGATACTTTAAGATATCCAAATTGGTAATCACAATATCGTTCCTCAAATACGAAGAACTACACTTATGGAAACCTTGATTTGATTGTATGGGCGATCAAATCACTCGGAGATAATGATTCTTCTTCTAATGGCTATGCATCCTATTTCGGGAAGAATCTCCAACGGATTGATTTGGAGATCAATCCTCTGAAGACTGTCCAACGGATAGATTAGAAGTAGAGGAGTATAAAAGGAGTGCAAACGTCGTATAAGAAACAAGAACCAGAATCAAGAATTCCAAAATTTGAATAGAGCTTCGATCTTACACACTTGTTATTACTGTTTTCCACGTTGTGTTTTTAGAAAGAAAATTACTTGAGTGAAAAGTGTACGTGATAGTGTTATCTATCATCTGAGAAGCACAACTCTTGTAATCTTCTGGTGATTCAATAGTGAAATACAGCCAACGGGCTGCCAGCGTGGAGAGTGGACGTAGGGTCAATAAAGCCGAACCACTATAAAGATCTGTGTGCAGTATTCTCTATCTCTAAACTTTTATTTATTATTGCTGACATTATACTGTACACATATCTGTCAAACAAGTTCATCAGAACATCATCTTAATCATCAGACGCAATCATCTAACAACAATTTATATACAAGTTTATTATACGAATCCATCTGATACTGATCATATAAGTTGTTGACCTAGACTATATTCATTCCGCACGTTTAAATCATACAATTTTGGTAAAATCACCTATTCACCCCCCTCTAGGTGATAGCACTAGCCCTAACAGCAACAACTATTATTTCAAACTTATAGCTGGCAAGAAGGCTTGGTCGGAGAAACGGAAAGATATTAATACCACCTTGAACAAGATAGTGCTAGTTTATAAAGTGATGTTTAATTTGAATGTTGAGAATATGTCTTGAGTTTGAACATGGAAACTCGATCCAAGTAAAAATTCTAAATCTAAATAGGACTTGTGGTTCGGTGCCCAAAAAAGCAACAAATTATTGACATACTTTCCACATTGAAGTTGGATTCCTAATTTGAGTGGGTTTCTTGGATTAAGTCATTTGAAAGGAGTTCCCTATCTTGGATCCTCCTATCTTGGATCCAGATATTATATATATAAGGTGGGTTTTGGTTTAAGCACCGGAGCAAAACTAGACGAGCTTTTGGTTGTAACAATTAATTGTGCGACGTGCTTGTGAATTGCATCCTAAAGAAATTGTAGGCATTTTCAAACCAATAAATCTAATGGTAAGATTTATAAAATTGCTTTATAATATTGAGAAATTGTTTCACGAATAATAATGAGCCTAAATACTGTGTGAGTTATTAAGCGTAATTTGAATTTCAGAGACACTAAAAGTGACTCGAGTAATAATATATTCTTTGGTGTATTGCTTACTATATAGTAAAATCCTGTGCTGCTCTTTCATAGGTCCACCAATCGACCTATGTAAATCTGGTGTCTAATTTATTTTCTTGTTCTTTTTGCTTTATTGTTCAGTAGCTTGTTTTTCAAAATATTCAATGTGTTTGTGAGCAATTAAGAGCGACATAATAAAGGAAAATTGTTATCCTAGCCGATGTTTAATGCAAGCGAAGCTACAAAAAAATCGGTAGTATCCTCTAAAGCCTAATAGTCAACCTCTATGCTAAAACACACGTTAACAATTTGATTCTTACTGCACCATGTTATAAAAGAATTTCCAAGAAAGAAACAAAGTCTCCTTTTTCAAATGTCTTTATGTTAATGCTAACTCGCAAAACGTATAAAGATAGAAAAAATTACCAAAAAAGTCCTAAACATTTTGCAGTTGTGCAACTTTAGTCCTAAACATTTTGTATTTATATCAATTCAATCCATCCAATCAATTTTGGCTCGCCAGCACTGACGTAGACGTCGGCCAGTGCCAACTGTTTGGCCAACACAGACATCAACAATTTTTTACAACATTTTATTTTTTTATTTTTTCCTTTCTTTTTTTCTTTTCCTTTTCTTTTTTTCCCCACAGTGGCCAGCAAGGCTAGCTTTACCCAGATCTAGGTGAGGCTACCTCGCCCATGGCCCCTAAGCCTTGCCTAGATCCAAGCAAGGTCGAGCGAGGGCTATGACCCTCACCAACCACTATGGAGGAAAAAAAGGAAAGAAGGAAGAAAAGAAAAAAGAAAAGGAAAAGGAAAAATAAAATAAAATAAATATATTATTAAAAATTGTCCATGTCAACATCGGTCGGACGACCGGCTTCCACGTTAATGCCAATCAATCAAAATTGGCTAGATAGACTAAATTGGCACAAACGCAAAAGGTTTACAACTGAATTGACAAAAAAAAAGGTTTATGACTAAATCGGTACAATTACAATAGATTTAGGACATTTTTGGTAATTTTCCCTATAAAGATAACACGCACAATGTGCACATAAAAGAAACTCTTTAATTTTCATTGCCAATAAATAATCAAATGTAAGTTTGTAACAAGCATGAAAATGGTTGTTGTGATGGTTAATTTTCTGTCGAAACTACTTCCGATTTCTATAAAGAATGCTGAAGGCATAACATCTAAACTTTTGCTTAAAACTTCAAACATAATTCCAATTTGTTATTTAGGATTGGCAAGGAGGAACAAAGCAGAGAAGTATGGCATCATCTTAAAGAAGATAATAGCTAGTGGTCGAGGCTTCCATTAGGCACGTAGTTGGAGACTAATATTGTTTCTTCTCTTTCCATGGAAAACCCTTATAGGCTTGCTAGGTTCTATGTTGAAGCTCGGCTATTAATTGAACTTCGTCTTTGAATTCTTGTACGCCTTGTCTGGAGCTTCAAGATAGTCTCTTACTGCAATAGTCCATCGACAAGGAAGTGTGCCATTCGACAAAGTGCAGAAACAAGAGTAATAGAGAAAATTACCAAAAAAGTCATAAACCTATTACATTTGTGTCAATTTAGTCCCAAACTTTTCAATTTGGCCGTTTTAACCCTCAATTTTTAACAATTTGCCAATGTAGTTAATCTGGTCAATTTTGGCCGGAAATTGATGACATTAACACTGGCCGTTTATGTGACACGGCTAATGCTAACGTGAAATTGTTATAATTTTTTTTTCTAAGTATTTTTTTCAATTTTTTTCCTTTCCTTTTTTAGTTTTAGGGATAATACCACAAAAAACCCCCAAACTGGTATATTTATGACAAATTTACTCCAAACTAAGTTTTGGCCGACCAAAAATCCCAAACTCTTATACTTGTGACAAATTTACCCTCTGTTATTTTCCGTTAAATTTTATTGTCAAATTGCTGAGTTTGATTATACGTGGCAGTTGATAAGTGTATTAGTTTAGGGTTTTACCCCACAGTTTGTCATAGATTTATCAGTTTATGGTTCTTTCATGATTTTAATCCAATTTAATGGAGGGTATATTTGTCACAAGTGTACCAGTTTGGGGTTTTTAGTGGTCAAAAAATTAGTTTGAGATAAATTTATCACAAGTGTACTAGTTTGGGATTTTTTGTGGTATTAACCCTTAGTTTTAATGTTAAGGGCAGGCAAGGGGCCGTCGGCCACTAGGCGAGGGCTTGCGTCCCTCACTCAGAGTTAGAAGAGGGCCGCGACCCTTGCCTATGGCTAGCGAGGGTTCATTGGCCCTCGTCTAGTGACCTGCTGGGGTCATCGGGTCTTGGCCGATGGCTAGCGGCCCCATGCCGGCCTTAAAAATATAAACAAAAAAGACAAAAATTAATAAAAATTCAAAAATTTTCCACATCAGTGTCGACTATGTAACGTAGGACAGTCAATATCCACGTCATCAATTTCCGGCCAAAATTGGCCAGATAGATTATATTGGCAAACTATTAAAAGATTTAGGACTGAATTGACACAACATCAATAGGTTTAGGACTTTTTTGGTTATTTTCCTAGAGCAAATATTGTCAAAACAATGAGAATAACCTTGATAAATCTGTATCTTGAAAGACAACATTAACGGCACATTATTGTTCTGTTTTGGATTATCTAATTCATTTGCAGAAATTCTGAATTGATGTTAAGGGTGATCGTGGAGCGTACTCTAATTTAGATTGGTAATTTCATATAAAAATTCGTAAATAGGAAGTGTTAATAAGCTATGCATATAAAAATTGGTATGTTCAAGTCAAATTGATAGTTTCACCAAAATATATAATTAATTTCTAACAAGATACCTGGAAAAAAAGTTATCAATATTTTTTGGCACTTACTAGCACTTAATAAAATTTACTAGTATAGAATGAAAATATCCTTATTTTGACTATGTAACGATAAAATTTTGCGCTTACAAGAGCTATCCTTTCTATTGTCTTGAAAAATAAAAGAAGATAAACCATAACAAACCAAAGAGTTTGGTGCTATCTAAATAGTTCCTGTTGCTCTCAGAGGGAGACTGGACTTCCACATAGTTTGCAATTTGGAGCATAAAATCTTGTTCCTTGCAAAAGAGAGCTTGCATACTTTGTATGATACTTGGTTTTGACGTACACTGATCAGTGGATTCCGAGTGTGCTCCATGATCTTTTCCCTTTCTTTATCAAAGAGACACATCGGTAAGACAGCCGCTGATCACTGGACATTGCGGCATTGTCTTGCAGCTATTTAGCATCTCGCTGGATCGATCTGAGTTTTGATCTTGAGATGGTTGTTTGTGCGTCACACTTGGGATGAATCCAGGTTGCTCGGGCACTGGGAGGCTAACGGAATCGGCACTACTAAGCATAAGAACAACTGTATCCATAGTAGGTCGGGCTTCATTGTCATTCTGGACGCAGAGCAAGCCAATGTGAATACATCTGATCACTTCGTTTGCTGAGTTAGATCCACTCAATGTCGGATCCACAATTTGCGCCAATGCTCCGATTCTCCAGTGTTCCCAAATCTAGAAATTATGTTTGTACTGTCACCAATTTAACAAAAATTGAATGAGATTACATGATCGAATTGTACTCACATAGTCTAGAAGGCCCGCATAGTGATCTGATACATAAGAATACCGATTCTTCTTGCCAGTTATGATCTCTAGCATCAGCACACCAAAGCTAAACACGTCGGATTTTACTGAGAATTGTCCATACATGACATATTCAGGAGACATGTAGCCACTGCGAATCAATTCAAAGAGACAGAGTCGTGATTCTCGTGAATGAGCATAGTTTGCTTAAAGATCAAGATGTTAAGGCACAAGATACTCTATGCAATAGAAAACCCAATTAAAGGACGAATCTAGTAGCATAATTATTGCAAATTATCTGGTGGGTTGTCCCAAAGTAATGTGATTTTGAACTTACAAAGTTCCAACGATTCTGTTTGTTCTTCCTTGAGTTTGCTGAGTACCAAAAATCCTAGCCATACCAAAGTCTGAGATTTTTGGGTTCATATCATCATCAAGTAGAATGTTGCTAGCTTTGAGATCGCGATGGATAATTCGGAGCCGAGAATCTTCATGAAGATAAAGAAGACCGCGCGCCACCCCAACCATGATCTTGTGGCGTGCTGACCAATCCAACTGTCTGTTTTGCTGAGGGTCTGTGTTGGCCAGAATTTGTATATTTTAGAGTCAAAGAATCTCTACTTCATGTCTGAATCTAATTGACAAGTGGTCATTGTCACATGTAATTTTCTCTTGAAACCATCATCAACTTGTTTGAAGAATGTCCCAAGGCATAACTACTAAACTTTTGCTTAATGTTTGGACATATTTCTAGATCATGACTAGGATTAGAAAGAAAGATGTAAACAGAGTGGAACGGAATCATTTTCAAAGAAGATGAAGAGCGAGGCACCAACCGAAGAGCAATTGGTCGAGGCTTCCATTGGGCATGTGTTCATAGACTAGTATCGTTTCTTCTCTTTCCACGGAAAAACCTAATAGCCTCACTAGGTTTCTGTGCTGAAGCTTGGCTACCAATTCGACTTCGTTTTTGAATTCCTCCACGCCTTGTTTCGAGCTTTGAGACAACCTTTTTGCTGCAATTGTCTTCCCACAAGGAAGTATACCCTACAAAAGACAGAATATGAATGAAAATGTCTTGTTGAGACGGAAGATGAATAGAGATTAAATCCCTAAGTAGCGCTTTATGTCACATCTCTGTGTTGAAGCTTCGCACCCTGTAAACTGGTCCGAACCCGCCTTCCCCTAATTTGTTGTGATTCGAGAAGTAAGCTGTGGCGGCTTCAATCACATCAAATTGCAGGGAACGTAGTTCTGAAATTTCGCTTCCAACTGTGTAGCAATAAGCCATCAATTTTGTGAAACGAATAAACTGGGAATGGAAAGACTAGTTGAAGCATTGTAGATCTATGACGTTTCTCACGGGAAAATTGCAAACGAAGTCTTAAACATCATGTACGGAATGCAATTGAGTATTAAATATTTTAATTGGTTGCATCAATTTCTAAACCTTCTTTCAAAAGTGCAATCAAGTTATTTCTATGAATAGTACCTAGAATTAACTCTCAAAAAGTGCTTCTATGGCATCCATAAATTGCACTTTTCCACACAATTTTAGGAAATAATTGTATTTTCTGACAAAAGTTAAGGACTTAATTGGAGCAATTAAAAGGTTTAAAACTCGATTGTACTTTTTCATAAAGGTTTAAGACTTGATTAAATGAATCAAAAGGCTTTGAACCTCCTTGCGTTCCGTACATAAAGTTTAGGACTTGTGGTGCAAATTTCCGTATTTCTCACCAATCGGATCTTCTTCGACATTGTTTCTCTTGTTCCTTTCTCTTTTGAGGGTAAACCAGAGAATGATGCAAAGTAGCACGACCGCCGAAGTTGCAGAAGTGATCCCGATAACTAATCTTGATGAAGAATGACTTTTCTTTTCGACTGCAATTTGATTAGTTGAAGGCTTCATTAGTATAGTGGCAATTTCCTTTAGCATCTACCGGATATATGGTACAGGCAATTAAATATTCGACGTGCCACCGAACATGGTGGAAACAGTACAGAGAAAAGCATTATAACCAGTTTAAAAAAAAAACCGTTGTGTTCATTACCTGTGTAGAACAGGTATATCTCGAACCTGGCGAAGCAAGTAGGAAGCAAGATTCTGCCCCCAATTTTCCCGGTTTCATTTGTCAGGAGAATGGAAATCACGTTCTGCAGGCAATCCTCGCAGTCAGCCGCCGATAGATCAGGCCTGCACTGGGCAAATGTATAGAGAGTAGTGTCTCCTAATTTTTTGAAGGTAGCCTCTTTGGACGCATACTTCTTATCGGATCTTTTAGCGGCCCTAGTAATCAACTGCTTCATTGTTTTGCTCAATAGCTTCATGAACTCGGTGGGTTCTTCCATATTCTCCCTATTATACCCGCCCAGAAGAGGCGCTTCGTCCGCGGCTGAAAGGGAGTTAAGGTCCGAATACTGCAACATGCACTTGTCGAACCAGAGGACGGATTCTTTGACCATAGAACATTTTGCTTTGATACTGACACTAGCATTTCTCACGCATTCCATGCACACTTCCGTGGTGACATCTCCCCTGCATAGGAAGCTGCCATACACAGCGTCCGCGTCGCTTGGCTTCCCTGTGCTCATGTTGAAGAATCCTTTGCTCGAGTTGGTATGAGAGGGAAGGGACTCAAGGAGAAGGTTGAGGTTCCCCCCGTAGGTGCTATTCAGAGCGAAAGTGCTCGAATTCGAGCAGTGATGCTCGCTGATCGTATTGGTTGATTCAGTTCGGAGGGTGGGAAACCTAAGCATGAAGATGAGGATTGCAAAAAGCTTTGTCATATTTTTTTGTTGGGGACTTGGCTGAAAGGGGCTGTTCTTTCCCTGAAAATGTATCTTGATATATAGACAAGAATCGGAAAGATCAGGATTTAAAGGGAAAAAAAAAGAATGGGAAATGATTAGTCAACCCTTTATATTATAAGGTGTCAAGATTAATGATCTCCGATTTCTAAATTCTTTGGTTATTCTATACTCCAGGTTTTCCATTCGAGTTAGATAACTTCGACTGTCGTTGTCATGTACAGCAATGTAGGATGATTCCTGGGAACACCAACACAAAAATTGGACGGTGGGATTATCATTATTGTTATGCAAAGTGCATTGACTAAAATCACCAAAACAAAAAGTGGGGACAAGCGTACAAAAAATCATAAATTTTGTCAAGGAAGTGCAGTCGAACTCTAAAATTATCATGGAAGTGCAATCAAATCTTCAAACTTTTAGATAATACAATCAAGTCTTAAAATTTTTAGATAATACAATTAAGTCATAAAATTTATCAATTTAATACAATAAAGTCCCTCCGAAAACTCTATCTGATTTGACTTTTATTATTATTTAATCTCTCCTACGTGATTATTAATGTTAACTCAAGTGTGCACGAATGTCCAAAACGCCTTCGTTTTCCCCCAAATGTTATTTTTTCCCTCAAACCTTTGTTAAACCTTAAACCTTAATGAAGTGAGATTAAAATAAAAAAATGATAAAAAATAAGAAATAAAAAGTGAAAAAGGCTCAACTAGTGCTCTAGGGGGGCAACGGCAATTAACTGGCAAGGCCCGGCAACTGGCAAGGGCCTACGAGCCCCACCCAAATCAAGGCGAGGGCTTGCAGGCTCTCCCCATGTCATCCAGTGACGGCGATGGTGGTGCCACCACCATGTGATGCAAATATCCACAAATTTTTTTGTGTCACCAAAAATTCTAAATTTGCCTACTGTGAAACAATACCCTCAACTTTTTTTGTGCGATGAAAAAACCCAAACTTATACATGTGAAACATAGATACCCTCTATTAAAGTTCTATCCAAGGTATATTTGTCACACTAATATAAGTTCGGCGGTTTTATGACATAAAAAAAGTTTGGGATATTTATGTCACAGTGGGCATAGTTTAGGGTTTTTTGTGGTATTAACTCTACTATAAATAGAGAGTTTTGGGGATTAATCTAGAAACCTAGGAAAATGGATCATGTTTTTGCCAAAAACACATATCTAAATAATATGATTTACATAAGCATATGTAGTACTATTACATAGTGTGGGAATGATCGAAGTGAGTGCTGTTGATGTTTTCAGTTGGAGGCTCTATGAGTCTATAGTACCATTACTTTAACATATATCGAATGTATATACAGGCAAATGATACATCTCATATATAATAGCAAAGATACACGCGTGTTGCACGTGAATGTAAGTTGCATTAATTTCGAGTCAAAGTGAGGAATTGCATGGTTTTCTAAGTTTTAAGGTGTGTCCTTCATCTTCAGCAAGAAAAGGAACTTATATATGTGAGAAATTTATTCTGCATCGTTGTAGCTGCTTAATTATTACTAACCATAATGACTAAACTCGTTGAGCTCTTTTAACTCAAAAATAATATTAGCCAATATCAATTTTATAAGTTAATTTTTTCCATAAAAAACTATGTCTTTTTTACCATTCCATCTTATATGCTTACATGAATCTTCGTTCATGCCCAAAAAAGGGAAAATTGTCCAAAAAGTTCTAAATTTATTGCGTTTTTGTCAATTCAGTTCTAAACATTTTAATTATGCTAATTGAGTCATATACATTTTTCATGTTTTGCCAATTGAATCCATTAGGCCAATTTTGGTCAGAAATCATTGACGTGGACGCCGACGTCCTACGTGGTACGTCCGGCGCTGACGTAGATAATTTTTAACAATGCTTTAATATTTTATATTTTTCGTTTCTTTTTTCTTTTCTTTTCTTTTCTTTCTTTTTCTTTCTCTTTTTTTTTGGGGTTAAGGCTAGCAAGGGTCCGCCAACCACCAGCCACTGGGCGAGGGCCTGCAAGCCATCATTGGCTGTGGGCGAGGTCCGCTAAGCCCTAGCGAGGGCTCACGGCCCTTGCTAATAGCTGGGCGACAGCCGCGAGCCCTCGCCGGCTGCCAGCGAGGGTAGCGAACCCTGGCCCACTAGCCGACAGGGTTAGCTGGGCCTTGGTCGGTGGCCGGTAGCCCCATACTGGCCTTAATCATAAAAAAAAGATTAAAAAAATTAAGGAAGGAAAAAGAAAATAAAAGAAAAAAGAAAATATAAATATAAAAAATTCAAAAATATTAAAATATTATTTAAAATTGTCAATATTAGCGACGGCCGTGCCACGTAGGATGATCGACACCATCCACATTCGCGATTGCAGGTCAAAATTGGCCGGATGAACTCAAGTTACAGACAATTGACCATGGTCATGACATCAAATATATTAGTAATGTTTTTGTAGCAATAGTCTTTCTTCTTTCGTAAACAATATGTTTTGCCTCAAGTTAGAGACAACTGACCATAGTGTAGGCAAGACATATATGGAGAGATTTTTCTTCGATAGTGAACGTTGAATTTTTCATTGTGTCAAATTCAATGTTCAAAGTCAGCTTAAATTACATCAGGAATACCTCAAAAAGATTTCCACACTTAGAGTATTATATAGTATGGTGAAGTATATATTCAGAGATTAGTCCTGCAGGTTGTCGGGGCTTCACTGATAGATTAGTCCTATAGAAAAGGAGGTGTCTGATATAATGCGACAGAATTCCCTTTATTTAATTATTGCCGTGTTGGTCGACTCACTTTAACTCCGACGAAAAGATAAGAAGGTAGATTACGTGGATCTTCTTAGATTGGCTCTAAACTGTGGGCGGAATTGGTAGCTGGAGTTCTAGAAGGTTGTCCTTTGCTGCAAGGCTATAGCCGATAAGTTATGTCCTTCACAATACCTTTCCTTTTCTGTGCGGAGTTCTCTATACATGCCTAAGAAGTTGTGAAGAAGATTTAGAGCTGCCGTAATTCCTTCTTGCGGTCTGGATATGATGGCAAAGCCACTGGTGTGGGTTAATTTGGAATAAGGCTGTTGCTATGAAACTTGTAAAAGAATAAGTGGTGCTCCAGTGGAGGATAAGATTAGAGAAGCTCATTTGAAATGGTTTAGAGAATAAGTTCAGGTGCTCTAGTTAGATGATGTGATCAAGAAATGGAGGCTTGGGGCCAAGTGGTTTGGATGAATAATTTCGTATATACGTTGAATAAATATCTTATCTAACAAGTGACCATAAGGATTTGTTCCAAAGTATGCTCCATGGAGTGCTGTTCTATGTAGGAATAACTTAAGATTGGCGGTGGAATCTGGATTATCTTTGTTCGAATATAATGCGTTCGGGAGTTTCGACCACGGTGGGCTCAAAACGATTTATATATAATTGATGAATTAATGGGATAAGGCTTAATTATTGATTGTTGTGCTATATTAGAAGACACAGGCATAACATCCATACTCGCGTGAATATATGATGCATTGTTTCTATATCATATGCATAATCTTAAGCTATGGGATAATGCTTGGGAAGGGTTTTTTCAGTTCTGTTAACGTGTTAAATCCTTAAATATGTCCTAAATCCTTAAATTAACAATGAAAAATATTGGTCACTCAACTCTTTACTAATCGTATCCGATCAAAAAAAAAAAAACTCTTTACTAATCGTCACAGGACTAATTGCATGAACAAGTTCGATCTTATATGTGAAACAAAATATGTGGGTTGGGAGACATCATACACAACATCAGGCATCATCATTGCTCTGGCCAAGACATGATAGCCCAAAAAAATAGTAATAAAAAGATAAAAAAATAAAAAATAAAAACCCTGGGGAGGAGTGTTCTGATTCAAATTGCTAAAGTTCTGTATCGCTTTAACAAGGGATTAAAATAAGCTTCATATACACGCACGCTTACATCACGTAAATGGCTTGAACTTTTAGATTGTGAATTATCCAAATGCCAGAGCATTGTAAGAGATAGGAACTGGAGCTATAAGTATCCGACGTGGTTTAAGCAAAGGTTACTTTTCCTTCATAAACTAAAGGGCCCGGGAAAGGCGAGCAACACTACAGCCTCTTTTAGTCGGTTCTATACCCGCTATGATAATTTCAATTTAAGCTATAGTCATGCGCCCCACCCTTGATCTAAAACTCCAAGATTGGTGTTCCGTCACCCAACTCTCACCTGGGCGCGTGCTAGCGGTCTGAAAATATTTCCGCATGTCATAACTAAGCCATGTAACCGAGCCGTTTGAAGATGTGCTCACAAAGTGAATCAAACTCGTGACCTTATAAAAATGCGTCCCCTTTACCGCTAAGCAAACCACTTCAATGGTTAAGAACGAGTTGGTTAATGCAGGTTTTGTACTTATATGTAGTTTAACATAGTATATGATAACTGAGTGGACAATCCCATAGAGTTGCTGGAGTAGTTAGGTGCAATTTCAGCCATACAGTTGGTGCGAGTTCCAACCCTCTGAGACAATGATTTGATCTTCACTTGAGTGGTGGGGAGGAGTCCACCTTATGCTCACCGGAGAAGATTACGCGTCACGGATTCCCCTTATGGTTATTAAAAAGAAAAGATAAGTTAGTCAACAAGTAGCAAGATAAAATAATAAGAATGGAAGATTAAAAAAATGAAAAAGAGAGAGAGATCCAAATGGAGATGATGAACGAGAATGACCTGGAGGAGGTAAGTCCATGAAATTCAGAAAAGGAGTTTGTTGTAGGCTATAACTAGTGAAGGTTCGACCATATTTTCTTTTATAAATGATTGAGGACACTTCATATCAAATTTGTCAATTCAAGCAACAGTTTTAAAGACACTTTTGACGGGTCCACGACCAAGGACCGGCGCTTCGGCGCACCATTCCAAAGTATGCCCTGAACAAGCCACGAAAGAACGTACAGAAAAAGCTTAGGAGAAATTATAGAACTCATT